GCGAGATACGGGAGCGACAAATTGAAGAATCGGAAAGCAAGAGCACGTTGAAAACACGGGATTAATATCCTCGGACTCGTGAATAAAGCGGAAATACTGGCGCATATTATATCAATAGCCGCGGCATTGCGTCTGTGCGGGTATTTACAAACCTATCGCTCCCGGCATCGATTGTTTGCGAATGCGGGCGCGTTTCGTGTTTGCGAGACTCTAACGGTAGTCAAATAATTCGCTAATTATTCACGGAAAATTATTACGCGCACGGAAAGATGTATGTCGATAATATCTTATAAATCGCGAGTATCGTTTATCCCTTTTTCGCGAACGGGGGAGGGAGAAACGGCACGCCCGGCACTCGTCGAGACGACAGGAGCTGTCCGTTGATTACAACGATGACAAACGGCAACGCATGGGAATTACGAAATGAAGGTTTAATAAGGTATGAGCCGGATCGGGACCCGCCGGTCGTCGCCGCCGCCACCGCCGTTGCTGCCGCCGCCGCCGCCGCCGCTGCGTTTCCCCTGCAGTAATTAACAAATCCAATTTTAATCGACGGTTCAATTCACGCTGCGCCCTGCCGGCCGGAAACTCACTCGCGAACACGGCGTCGCTCCGTACATTCAGTCGTCATATCAGCGCGTAAAACTGATTAGCGGTTCCCCTCGCGACGCAATTATCCCGCTCTGCGCCGGACGGCTCGTTCTCATTTTGTTGCCCCGTAGTAAACGAAATAAGCGTGCAAACAAAATAAATTCCTTTGTCCGCAATCCACGCTTTTAGATGGTGCGTCGCGAATTCGGCTGATGATAATTAAAGCCGTCTATCGATTACGTTGTTAGCATACTTCTAATTTACAATTTATCAGGCGTGATTATACGTATGAATAATGTGCATAACTAATATAAGAGCATAACTAATATAAGTACATAAGAATATAAAGAATTGTAACAAATTATGTAAATTAATATGATTAAGTTAAATAGATGAAAAATATTTCATGTTTTAGATTTATAAAAAAACAGTTCTTGGAAGAGATATTTCATAATTGAATTAAAAAAAAAAAAAAGAAAAGAATGTTATACACGTTTTTTAAAACGTTTTTTAAATTATAGGTATTTGTTTATAGATAGCTCGTATCCCGATCACTCGGGGAAAACGCGAAAAATCGCGATCCACCGAGAGAGAAGCGATAGCAACAATACCCAGTTCGTCCGATCGGCGATGACACATTCTAATTAAAAATCCCGAGCGTATCATTTTTATCGCCCATATTTCGCATTCCCGCGCGAAAGAAAAAATCAGACCGCGGTATCGCGATTTCCATGCGTTTGTCCCCGAAAATCGCGATGCGAATTGGAATATCGTATCGCCCGCATCCGAGATTCCTGTGTGCGCGCACGTTTCGGCGTTCTGTGTGCCATTCGAAAAGGGCTCAATCGAAAAATCGGTAGTAACGCTCGAAACGACGTAGGCAAAGCGCATTGCGCCGCACGATTGCCGGATTGTAAAACAAAGCACAGCGTGCAACACGCAGGCAGTGCAAGCATGCAGGTGCGAACGTTGATCGCGGATATTTCCGCGTTTTTTTGTAGCCCGCCCGTGTACACGATCATGCGTGTGTGTACGTTAAGTCCGTTGCGTAAAACAATGTATAAAACCTCGGCCACATATAATGCGCAAAAATGATTTAATAATGGCTGCTTTTCATCTCTTTTTTTCTCCCCCCCCCCCGCTTCAAATCCGAAAAATAATATAAAACTGAGATTGTATTTTTTTTTCTTGAATATGCTGCATCATAGTCACGGTACGTGAATTTATCACGTTCATGCACACAATAACGGGAACGGGTGAACGAATTGAAAATCTGCGCTTCCTCCCTTTTCTCCCTTTTCTTCGTACCGTAATATGCATTTTATTATTTATTTTAAAATATCGGGCTCTTTTAGTAGAAGTATTTTGAAGATAAGGCCATTTCCACAGCAAGGTGCAATCGTAACGTAGTAAACTTCCGTAGTGCGGTTATACGCGATGATCGCTTTAATAGAACACAAAGACGGATTAGCATATCCTGGCAGTCTAGCCATCACGTGCACGTGTGCGTAATGTAGTCGCACGTTAGCGACGGACACATCGATGCGCGATATATTTATGGTTTATTGCAGCGCGTTTATGGACGGAATTACAGTCGGCGCTCGTTTTAATGGGTGTCGAGATTGCGGCGCCGCGCGGTGCTGCCCTCGTAATTTCGCATCGGTACGATAAATTATTAAATTCGATCGGTTTAACTATTGTCAGAACGCGGACTCGGCGGGGACACTAAGGCTACGTTATGCTCTATTAAGGTATGATCGATTATGGCTTGCGGCCGCGTTGACGACCGATCACGAACGGAACGGACTAGATCCGCTAACTGTGGTTATATATAGATTTGATCAAATGTACAATCTCTTGCTTTTCGACATAAATATGATACAATGATCTGTGTTCGTCGTTTCATCCCTCATGGCGAGCATAATGGTGAGCACTAAGTAAGAATTTTCTCAAATTAATTAAATGTCGAAAGACGTGAAGATTTCAGACTCAGTCAATGCGAGATGAGAGAGAGCTAAAGTTTTAGCATGGATATTTGTAATTTCTGTAAAAGTGATTTTTAAAATATCAATTTTATCAATAAAGAATATTTGCTGAATATATTTTGCAGAATGCCACATCTCCCGGCGCCAGCAACGATGGCCTCACAAAACAGCAACTGGAGCTCATCCAGCAGCTCATGCAGCAACAACAGCAACAACAAACAACCACACAGCAGCAGCAGCAGCAACAGCAGCAACAGCAACGGACTACTTCGCCAGCGGTGATACAAAAGGCACCAAAACCGTCCATCAAATCCACTGCGTCACCCGGCAATATTTCCAACAACTCCGCGAGTGGAAACACGACCAGTAATGCGAGATCGAGTCCAAAACCGAAGATGTGGAGTCACTCGCAGGTAAGTGTAAGTTATAAATAAAAAAATGCAACATTTTCAATTTTTCCATGTGTGTGTTTTTTATACATCGAGTATAATATTGAAAATTGCATTGGGCGATACAACTAGTTATGGAAACAATAATATGAATTAAAAATGATTACCTATATTCTTTTTTAGTAACAATATGAAAAAAATACATATTTTTGAAGTTCATTAAAATGAATATTAATAATATGTATTTAAAAATCAATACATATTAGTATTCCTTTTAATGAACTTCAAAAATAGATTTTTCTATTTCAGGAAAAGAAGATGGTTTTTCTTTTTTAAATAGAAAAAATGAAAGTATCCATTAGCAATAAAATTAAAAAAAAAAACAATAGACGAAAGTAAAGAAAAAAATAAATGTATTAACTTCAATATAATAAGCAAGCAAAATCAAGGAAACTGCCTTAATTAACATCGATCGAAGCAAATTTCATTAACGAATGACAATTGCGATGCATTCCATTGTGCAGCTCGTACATGCTGCATGATTTTATTATGTTATCGCGTAACGAAATCCCGAGATAGCGCCGAAAGTAATAAACTCGTAGTACCTCCAGACTGCTTTCGGTTGAAAGAGCCCTTCTTCCGCATTAGGCAGCGGAAGTATTACCAGGCGCACCCAAGATCCCGTGTACACGGCTCGTTGGAATTCGCCGCGGTAATCTTTTGTGCGGCGAATACATCACAAATCGCATTACGTATCGCAGCCAGAGTGGATACCACTCTGGTACTCTGGTAATCCAGCCGACGAGGACTCGTCGAATATTATACGGAAACGCGAAACAGCGGTATATCGCGCGCGTGACCCTTTGTGCGGGATCTCGTTCATTTTCTAGTTGAGAAGCACAGTCGGATGAAACGATAGACAGACGCGATATCCTTCTGAAAGCCGCCCCATACATCCGTGATTTATTACAAATTAAAAAGGTTTAAAATAATTCTAGCATGAAAAAAAAAAGAGTTAATTTTATTTTTTAATTGAACCGAAATAATTTTCAGCATCGATTTTATTAGAGAAGGACTCGAATAACGAAATATTTTTACGAATGTATTTTTGCAACAATTTTTCCGTCGAATTGAATTGATCGTCCTGCTCTTCCACGGGGTAAATCCCGTGCGGTGTTAAAATAGCGGTCGAGCCGGTTTCGCGAACGAGTCTTCAAAAGCCGTTCAGAACGAAACATTCACCAGTGCGAGAGTTAAATCCGTCATCGAGAACCATATTGTGTGGCTATAATCCGTCCTCGTTGAATTACGCGGTGCTCGCTTCATAAAATTGCGCGAATTGCTAATTGGTCTCGCTCGCTTCCCTTTATATCCCTTTATATCCCTGTCCTTCCGGCAATCCGAATCTTCGGCGATCAAAAGGATGACGACGCTGTGAAAGAAGCCTTTGAGCAGATCCTTTCACGGTTCGGCACATCGAACGCTGTAGAATTTTCTTCCGACATTCTCCTTGTCGTCCGAAGAAAGGTGCGTGATTAGCGTGGCGAATCGTAGTCGGAAGTCCAGTCGAATATCTCGCTTTCAACAAGTGACCCATTTCGGACCCATTTCGTTTATTTGTAATTTCGCGTTTAAAGCAAAAACGTTATAAAGTGATTTTATCTCTTTAACTCAGAAGTCATTTATTAAATTACGATTATTTGTTAAGCCATAATCCATCACACCTGAAAAAGCTTTTTTTTTTTTTCTGGAATTTTCTCCCGTCATATTTGAGTATCTAGGCGAGCAGTTGCGTGGCGTGCCATCAAGTGTTGATATGAGGAATATTAATTGGCGAGTCTCCGAATGTATCGAGTGTTGGTATAAGGAACTCGTCTCTCCAATGTGCGAACATATCAACCGTCCAGCGCGTCAGCTGCATCGACCTGGTAATAGTGTGACGCTCCCAGCCTGTCTATAAACCGTTTACTGTCATTACTGAATCATGCATAAAAGACGATCGCAGCTTACGTAGCTGGTACCTCGTCGCAAATCTTTCACGTCGGACTACTCGAACGTTTAAATTATGTACGACGGATTAACGATTATACGTACGCTTGGCGATGACAACAATGTATAATTAAAATATTTTAAGTGGTCGAATCGTTACGATGTCGCCGACTAAGATTATCTTATTAATGACTAAATAAATTATTGCATTAACAACTGGGAAAACGCTCGCAAATCCTAATGGCTAATAACTACGTAGTGGTTTGATGACTGTATGGTTTACTGCAGCTTAGAGAACCATCGGCTCCATAATTACGTTCATCGGCTGCCTGCAATAACGCTCATCGATCGCCGCGTTCGACGCAAGAAAACGTACACGCAGTCCATCATCGAAGATTCCCGCTCGCCTGTATTTCAGCGCGTTTTTCCGCGACGGGACCCGCCGCCAACACCCCCTCCAGGCACCTCTCCGCCACCTAACTTCATTACGTTAATGGCATAATAACCATTGCGGGCGGGCCGAAGAGCTTATGCGCCGGAACGTCGATGTCCCTAAACACAGCAAGAAGCGAGCGCGCAGTAAAATCGATCCGATCTCCATTAATATGTATGAGGTCTTCGCCAATGGACGCGGAAGGGCTGATGGGGCGAGAGGTGGTCGGGAGAAAGGGGGAAAACGAGAGACCGGGGATTCTCGTACTCTTCTTGCCGTCCTCCCTCCGCCCGCCTCGCCGCATCGAAGCCCCGAACTGCGGGCGATCGCGAAATGCTCTCGGAAACTGTCGTAATTGCTTAGGAACTCGAGGACGAACGGATTCTTCGGGATCTACGTTGCGATAAAGGGGAGGATGGGAGAGGATCCTGCATATAGAGCAAACTCGGCAAACTCGATTTAATTGCGATCCCTTATACAATTACGTTATGGTTAGCGAAGCGTTAGCATTGCCCGATCACACAATGAGAACGCGTGCATGCCGAATCGGGGCTTGAGATATATCGCGCTTAGAAATTCACGTTAGTTCTTATTTGCATATTTATCGAAGGCGCATTATACGGGGCGTATACATACGTACGTACATACGTCAGCCCGCGTACGAACGTACGCGAGATGAGAAAGTTATTCATTGGCCGACGAGTAATGCGGGATAGATGTTAAAGACGAGCGCAAAGTGCGCCGTTAAATTATATTTAGCCTTCTTGTGTCACTTTGATATCGTAAACACGTCTCGACCATTATCCGCCAGCTTTATATCGCGGTATGAGAATATTCACCGTATTTCCCTCTATATTTATGGTTCGATCTAGACGGACGAACCTACAAATATACACGGCGAGACAGCGGCGGCGCGAAGATCCGCGCGAGGCCGCGCCATCGTCAGGGAAGCAACGCGACATTTCGTCATTACATTACCTTATTTCCGCCTTGTTCGACGACGAAACACCTTTTTTATTACCCGCGAGGAGCGCGGCAGTAAACAAAGTTATATAACTTACGTAGGGTCGCGGGCGAATTGCATCTCGGCTTACTCCAACGCTATTACCCGCATCGCTAACAGGTATTCGCTCCTCCACACGTCGGATCCGCGTTACGAATATCGATGACGAGGGTATTTGCGAGCACGACACGACGACGCGACGTATTCCGTGCCGCATTCCGAGCGCGTGCATAATTCGTGCTGTCCGACGTGAAATACATCTGTCGTGATTACGAGAACTCGAATACGCGTTAATCCGATTATATTTAGCCTTCTTATGCCACGATATGCACGATATCGTAAACATGTCCGCTGCGGATATTAAATTCACCTGTACCGTTTCGTTGATAAAACGCCATGCGGGCACGCTTTCGTAAGAACTGCCGCCCGCCCGAGATTTCGCGTCGCGATTATCTCAGAGATTTATATATTTTCGTTGCGCGACGGCGCGCCCCAAGCAGAAGCCGTTACCGGACGAACATAGATCTCTCTGGGTAACACGATGCAAACGCCGAGGGTCCTCTTAGTCATCTCCTGGCAGCGGAGTCACAGCCGCGAAATATCGGCGACCTCGTGTATGCAAGCCGCTTTGGCATAACGCATGCTCCGGAGTCATGCGTGTCACGTTGTGTTATGTTACGTTAGATTCGCATCGACGTCGTGATCCTGTATCCCAGGATTCCTTTTGCGGGTGTCTGTTTAACTGTGCTGCAGTCGAAAGATAAGATGATTTAATATAGTTGAGCATTAAGCTCGAAAATTATACCAAATAAAAATCTATGGCGCGTGATTAATGACGAAGTGAAAAAACAAAGACACGATGTGTTCTTGATGTTAATTAGATTTTTTTATTTCATTTTTTTTTTAGTCTTTATTCTTTTTTAAATATATTATTTCTACGTTTCTTATCGTAATTGTTACCGCTAAGAATATTGACATGGATCGAGAAGGTAAATAACGGTCAGCGACAAAATGCGTCAAATACATTTGGTGTTTTACGTGTTTTTCAAGCCGTGTAGCACTAAATGCGACTTGTTTCCTCGAATGCGATGTATCCAGTGATATCAAACCAGTACGATGTCATAACTGTATAACTGTCAAGTTATAACCCTGGCCCCGAGCTATTCCTCCCTTCTCTCTCTCTCTCTCTCTCTCTCTCTCTCTCTCTCTCTCTCTCTCTCTCTCTCTGTCTGTCTCTTTCCCTCTCTGCTACTTGTTACTTACGTAAATATTCACATAACGCGTACATGTTCTGGAGATTCTAGTTCATTACGTTTACGAGATGACACGCATATTAAATGCAAGCATATTAAACGCGGCGTGCATTCATATTAGTTTAACGTAGCTGAAATGTCAAATGTATGACACAAATGTATGTTCTCCGAATAAGCGGAAATAGGTGACGTTCGCCCAAAACGCTGAGCGCAAATTTTTACAGCGTATGCTTTTCCTCTTTCTTTTTTTATTTTTCTTTTCAGATAAAATTCCTTAAAAAATATTTGGGAAAGGAGAATTCTCGAATTCTGTAACAAATAGGAACGACAGATAAAAGGTGGCTGCTGGATCGAATAAATATCGTTAATATGTATGGGCTCTCTACCGATACTCTCTGGTGGAGAATTCGAGACGGATTGGGGAGAACGGCATTGAAAGTTTTCTCTTCTTGATAAATCATCGACGATAATAATAAATAATGCGCGCCATGCGAAATAGTTGACGAAGATGTGTCGCGTCGTGCATCCACCAAGACGACTCGTAATAAACTTGGCAGGCAATTCGACGAGACGGTCGTGCGTCCCGATCGTAAAAGAAAGTTTGGCCGTAACAAGGAGTCCTGAAATTAATATGATCCGATATATCGTCCGATGCTTTCGTATAACGATAATCGAGGAAATGTAACGAGTGGCAGAGTAATCCGCATCGAACGTGGAAACTTCGCGAAGTGTTCGCGTTTTATAGGTGGCTTCGAAAGTCGGGGAGTGCCCTGGCTATTATTAAATTCCGATGCTATTATGCTTGACAGGAATTTGGTTTGATTTACGTCGAACGGCAACGCATTTATCATACCACTGAAAGGAAAATACAGAAACAGGTAGTTACACCGAAGTAGCGATAACGATAGTATTACGTCTCGGCGCCTTCACTGCGGCGTAAGTAATTTAACAGGTAACTCTGGAAGGATGTAATCTGTATCTTCGCGAAATTGCGGTTGGCGGAAGTCTAAAAGTTGAGCTCCTCAATTATGAAAGATCGTTGGTACGCCGCTCGTTATTCCGCGGGCGGCTGTGATATAGTCAAGTTCGCGTAATACTTAAGTGAAAGTTGGGGATGTTTCGTTAACCCTTAAATGAAATTTTTACATGGCTGCTCGAAGCCGTCTTTAGAAGTACAAGGAGCTATTTTAATCCTTCAATATACATTTAATACGTTTTCTATCTTTCTTGCATTCATCAAAAATAAAATGCAAGAAAAATAATATGCAAAATCAACGATTAATCTAGTCGTAATATCAGAAATGCAACATAATGTAATAATATTACGATGAAAA